CAGGTAGAGGGTAGATTGACACTCAAAAGTGAGTGTGCTGCTGTACCCATCTTTATACCCATGGGGGTCATGTATTTCTCTTTCTTATCTGTGATGCCAAATGGTGCTGGTCTGTCTTTTGTGAGACCAGTTCTTACAAGGGAGTTGTGAACTTAATTTACACTTGTAAGAGAGAGTTGAGAGGATTAAATTGGAAGTAATGGAGATTCTTTTCTCAGTGGGGGATTCCTCTCCCAGGGACGGCTGTGTGTTCGTATCAACATGGGTGCCAGCCGGGCACTTCTTGCAGCCCCGAGGCCAGCTTATTGCCTTAATCGTTCTCTCCTCATATCCATGTTTTCAGCTTCTCAGGATCAGATGAGCCAGCATAGACTATGCTGATTTTATTGCTCCTACTCTGTCCTGTATGCTTCAGGAACCTCAGAGAGGCAAATAAGATGGATGAGATGGGGGTGGTCTGTCTGGCTACAACCCACGGTCCTGTTTCTATTCTGCCCTTTCTGCCTGCAGTCCCACCCCTGTTCCATCCCTTCTGCAGATGGCCCCACTAATGGCCCCATCCTATTTGTCCCTTCCCTCACACCCTCTGCTCTGCCCCCATTTTGTCCATGGTCCCATCTCATTCCTTCTCACCACTGCAGCCTCACTCCCTATTCATTCCTTTCTCCTCCCACCCATGGTCCTAAAACTAGAGAAGTTATGTCCCTCCACTATGACCTTGGGGCCACGGCAGAAAGAGAGAGCTCCTCCAGTACTGGGATTGCATTGGGAGATCTGGGCACTGAGCCTTCCTCCACCATTCCCACACTTTTGCTATGGAATGGGGTCGGACTGCTGGGGCTTCCCCTGCTTTCCCACCCAGCACTTCTACTGGGTGAGGCACTAGGGATTGCCAGGAACTGGGGTTGGAGCACTGGGGCTTCTTCTTCCCACTTATGGCTTCTGCCAGGGCTCCAGGCTTCGGCCGCCCTGTGACAGATTTCTGCTGTGGCACCCATTTTTCCAGGGCCCCCCATTTGGCCAAGGTCTCTGAACATGGGCAGTGTGGGCCTGTGGATAATCCAGCACTAGCATGAATCAGTGGATCACGGTGCATGCGCTGCCCAGCCTGGCCCGGCCACCGCTGCTGGCACACAGCGCCTGGCCATGCAGAACCCCCTGGCCCCGGGGGGGAAGGGGGATGCGGGGGGGCCAGCGCTGCGGGAGCCGGGTGCACGGTGCCTGATGGCAGCTATAAGGGATGCCGCACGCCCCGTATAGCTGCCATCAGGCGCCCCCCATTGGTTCGCACCCAGGCAGCTGCCCAGCTCGCCCACCCCTTAGTCCGGCCCTGCAGGAAGTAGTTCATTTTGCAGAAGATTTGCTGGGTTTGATCTCCATTACAGATGCTGGAGGCTTTCTGATCTGGGCTGTTGCCATTTCCAAAGGGATGCGGCTTTCATTTTTAATAGTGGGGAACTGCAGACTGCTGGCTTAGAAAGGACTATGAAAGTTGTACCAAGTAACTGTGGAATATATCTAGATGACTCCTGGCAGCTAAGGCAAACTGGCACCCTGTTTACATTACAAAGGGCTCAGATCCCAGGTCCTGGCTCAACTTGAGCTTGGCACCTCCAGCCCTGTGGGTTCCTGGGACTCTCATTCAAAGCTGTGGGTTAGCACAATTGCAGCGTAGATGCAAGGAAGTTGCCTTAAGCCCAGGTTTACGATGCAGTGTAGACATACCCTATGCAAACATTGTGGCAATATCAGTGCTTTCAGTACTTCACTTTCATAACCACCTAATTTCTCTTACATTTTTATGTAAGCAGGGTTTGAAGGAATGCTTCCCTGACAGCTAGCCAGAAGGGGAAAGAGACCTTGGGTGTGTCTATGTAAATACACATTGCTCCTGTTTGCTTAGATTGCTTAGATATGCAGCTGATGGAGTGGTGTTTTGCTTGTTGCAATCAATTTAGCTGGTATTGGGTCACAAGTTATGTTAGCGCTAAATGCAGAAATTGTGAAATATGGTCAACAATGCTTATAATTATCGTGGAAATAAAAAAAAAGACATACTGTGCATATCCTGTCGCAAAGAAGGATGCCACTTTCAGTTTAAAGAACCTCAGATGGAGAAGAGCTCAAATGTCAGACCTTGTGAGAGTAAGAGGGAAGAACAGGACTCTCAACCTCAAGGATCTGCTGCAAGACTGGTTCAATCTCTTTCTCCGCACCCTTCCAAGAACAGAGCTAAATAGACTTCATTAGGAGCCTCCTTTGTTATTTTTAAATTACTCCGCTGGAGCTGAAATCACTTGTGTTGAAACTCTGTTTTTCTCCTAGAGCTGAAATCCCTGGAGACTGCCTGGTCTGGAGGAACTAGCGAGACCAGCACATAAGTGACCAGCAAGGCAGCATCAGAGGGGCATGACAAGCGGCCAGCAGGGTGCTGGCAGAGAGAGGTGATGAGCAGCCAGCAGGGAGGTGGCATAGAACAATGAGCAGATGGATGGTGAGCTGCCAGCAGGGTGAGTAAGATTCATCTTTACACCCCTGCACCCATAGTAGAAGGTGAACTCTGCAGATACACCTCTGAACTCTGGGTCTGTACTGAGCAAGGAAAGCAATTGTGAGTGGGGAGTAGAGAAGGGTTGAGTAAGTGAAGGGGACATTTAGAACCTGAGGGAAAAAGACATGGCCCAATCTATCTGGAGTTTTATTTTATTTTATTTTACTCATGGGTTTTATTTATGAACCCTGTCTGCAGAGTTTTCTCAGATTAATGTCAAGTTACTTCCCTCCTATTAGAAGTTTCTTTTCTACCCTCTGTGCTTGCATGTTGGGAAGCATGGCCTCTCAGAGGCACCTATGGGTGGTGTGTTAGTTTCCCATGTGGACAGAGCCCCATGGGTGGGGGCTCAAGTCAGTTCTGTGTTGGATTGATGGAGAGAGTCCCTTAGATATTGAACCTGGCCCTGGCGGCTGCTGGCTCTGCCTGGTAGAAGGTTACATTTAGAAGAAGTAAAAGTAGCTTTATACAGTCCCAGAACAGTCTTTTGAAAGAAACCACATTGAAAAAGTGTTGTTTTTTCTGTTATTGTCTTCTACTAGCAGCCCTTAGCATTTCACAAGGTTAGAGATGACCTTAAATGAATACCCAACATTTGCCCATTATAAATATTAGAAAACGTATTGAAGGTAACAGGGTTATCCCTCTGCTGGGCAGTAGCAGGTGTCTCGATCTGTCAGGTTGGCTTCCCAGCAAGGAAAAATCAATCAAGGATTTCATTAACTTTAAATGGACCTTATCTTATTTTCACACATAGCCTTATTCTGGAATGGAGGTAGTCACAAACAGCATGTAGGCAGTCTCTGCATTCAGGAATCACTACCCAATCTGCTTGGTTCCCAGGGAGCAATTTATTTCAATCACAGAACAAAGCAGAAAGCATTCACTCAACTCCTTTTATACAGAACATTGTATAACACAGCATGTATTCTTAAAACTAAACATTTGCTTTTATGCTAATAAATAGGACTGAGAAGACTTTATGTAACCGCCACTTCATGACACCTACCATAATGTATAGTTTGGAAACACTTATCTGTATATAATTGTCTGGAATAACTCCATGTACAATGGACAAAAGATCTTATATTTATATAACATGTACATTTTCAAAACTATTAAATTATTTATAAATATATCCTACAGCTATCAGTATTAAAAGTTACTTAAAAGAAATATATTTTGAGACTGAGTAGAAGATCAATGCTAACATATATGATCTAGCACCAGCTGCGTATGGGTACAATTCCCATCCTCGCTTTACTATTATCTTAACAGGAAAGCATCTTTACTAAAGATCCTTATTAAAGTTAATGAAACCAGGAGACAAGTGTAGAGTTCAGAGATTTGTTCAGTTTCTCTTCTTCTGAGTTTCTATGTTTTCTACTTAGCATACACAGTCTGAAAAATGACTGCACAGAGGATCAGTTGAAAAGCTACTAGCTCTTTTAGTGCAATCCAAAAAGCAAAGAGATAAAGTCCTGAAATGTAAGAAGTTTGAAGTGAATATAGAGAGATTCACGAAAATGGGTGTGTGCAGGGAGGAAGAGGAGGAGAAACAGAAGCAGAGGAAGAGGAGATGAAACAGGATTCTTACCATAGTGAAAATTATGTAGTCTAATTTGCCTGACTAAACCAGCCTTTACTGAGTCTGAATGTGTGGTGGTCCAGATATATACACATTTAAAAATGCCAAAATAGAATGTTGCCCTCTCTGGGTTTTTTTAAAGGAAAATACAGCATGTGACTAACATAGTTAATTATAAAGCATATTTCTTTAAACATGTAAAAGTGTTTGAAGGCCTAAGACTTTTTCTGGCAGTAATGCACTCCTGGAGCTTCCATTAAGGTTCGGAGTTGCAGTGTGAACACGTTCTAAGACAGTCCTGAGCCAATGGCAATTTTCATTTTTTTTTAAAGAATCTATTTAAGTGATCTAAGTTAATCAAAAGGTCTGAAAGTATTTTTGTCATGGTTCCTTCCCCACTCTGGCATGATAAATGCAGAAGTGGGGACCAGAAAAAGTACCCCAAAACCTTATCTACTAGGCTTTGGTATAAAACTTCCCCCCAAAAAAATCTTAACAACCTAGATTTTGGGGATAAAAACTGTGCTGCCATCACCCAACTATTGATACAAAAATCAGGGGAGAGATTACTTGGGAAATCTCACCCTTAAAGTACAAACCAGGACACAAAAATTAACCAGTACCAGGTTAATAAAAATAAAAGAGAAAGAACTTTTATTATCACCACAAAATTCCTGTTGCAAGCATAATGACTAGATGGAAAAGTAACAAAATAATATACTCATGGAGAAACTCCACTATGGGCTTAGAACTTAGTTACAAAGGAAAGCCAAAACATTTTTAAAAGTGCATAGACATCAGATCCCATTTCCCAAACCATAAAGCAAGAAAATGGACTTATCTAAACTTTACCCTCCTTACAGAAAGTGAAGCATGGTTTCTTGGAGAGACAGGTCTGTCTTTCTCAGTAGCTGGAGAGAAACTGCCCAGGGAAAAGGGAGAAGGAAAAAACAAAAATTCCTTTGTCCCAGTTTGAAATTCCTACTTACATTCCTATTGGCCAACTCTACTTGAGTTAGGTAAGGTTAACCCCTTAGTTCCCAGGCTGCTGGCTAACCTTCATGATCAGGACAATTTTCAATAGTGAAAATGTCCATTTTAGAATAGTTCAGAGATCTCAAAAATAGCTGAAGTTTGGTGGATGGGAAAGGGGGCTTAAATTACTTTTTTATGTCTGTCTGTACCCCATCCCTCTCCCAAAAGTTAAAAACATGGTCCTGGGGCCATATTTTAAATTCATAACCCATAAGAATTTGTATGGGAATCTGATTCTGAGAACTATATTCATCCATTCAAAACATAAAATGTTGTTTCTGTGTCGTGAACTCGCCCATACTGTTCAGAATTTTGCAGGGATAATCAGAGCAGTGTCAGGTGATTTCCACTATGTGGATGGGGGTCCAAGAATGGATGAGTCTTGGTGGGAATAGGGGTGCTGGGGTAGGCTGGGAGTTGGGGTCTTGCTGGGAGTTTCAGTGTGGGAGGGAGGGAGAATGGGAGGTCTGGCCAGGAGGGAGGGTGCAGTAGTATGCTGGGAGGGGTAAGGTGTCTGGGCAGGAAGGAGGGTGCAGGAGCAAGGGTGGGTAGAACATCTGTCCAGAATGGAGGGGTGCAACAGCCACAGACGGTCCATGAAGAGGATGGGGATGCGGGATCTGAGCATGAAAGCGATGGGGGGGCAATTACCTGGTTTCATGCCTCCCACCGCTCCCAGGTGTTGGTCCTATTGGCCATGATCTCCCGCTGCTCCCATTAGCTACGACCTCCTGCTGCTCACATTGGCTGTGATTGGCCAATGGGAGCAGCAGAGAAAGCCTCTAGGCAGCCTATCTGTGCACAGCCATTCCCACAGCCAGGGAGAGGGGGAGCAGCAGCACACAAATCCACTTGCTTCCCCTGTGAGGCTGTGTCCAGACTCAGGGGTTTTTTCGAAACAAGTAGCCTTTTTTCGAAAAAACTTCACCTGCGTCTAGACTGCAGCCACGTTCTTTCGAAATTAAATCAAAAGAACGCGGCTTTTCTTTCGATGGCAGTAAACCTAATTTCACGAGGAAGAACGCCTTTTTTCGAAAGAGCACTTTCGAAAAAAGGCGTTCTTGACTGCAAACAGGGCATTTTCGAAAGAGAGCATCCAGACTGCCTGGGTGCTCTCTTTCGAAAAAGTGGCTTGCTTTTTCGAAAGTTCCGCTTGCAGTCTAGATGCTCTTTTTCGAAAGAGGCTTGCAGTCTAGACATAGCCTGAGATTCAGGGTTTTCTCTTTCCCCACCCCAGTCAAAGCAGGAAGTCAGTGCTGGCACTCCATTCTTGCAGAGGAGAGAAAGATATGTCGATATTTCATACATTTATTACACCTTGTGTCATACATCTCTGTCTGGACATGCACCCATTTCTTGGGATATGTCTTTTCCACATCATGTGCATGTAGGCTGGAATTTGTCTCTCTCAGCATGGGATTCTGCTCTCCTTACCTCAGAGATTTTACAATGTGTTTTTCCAAGTTTTGCATTCCCCAAATCAGTTTTCAACTATTGTACACACAGCTTTTATAAAACATTGTTTCCCCGTTTTTTAATTTTGTGATTGAAACATACTCTTTCATAAACCACGTTTCTCTGATGTATAAAGTATACATTAACTATAGTCAGAACTCTTTCATAGTAATTGTTATGACTTTAAAATGTCAATAGATTTAAAGATATTATCTGCCTGATTCCTTATAGGATAGGTTAAATAAGATGCATACATATCTCTAGCTATTCTGTGGAGTTTGTTTGCAATTCAAAATCTTGCAAAATATGTCTTCCAGTCTGTTCTTTGTGAAGGTTTGTCAAAACTGAACTTTTCTGGGGCATTGAAGAGTGGCATGTTGCTAGATCATGCAGCCTTTGCTGTTGTTGTTTTCCTTCTGTATGCAACCTTTGTTGACATTTTCCTTCTGTTTCTGTTCTTAGACTGACAGCATGTCATGTATTTCTACACAAGGTATGAATTGGTCAGAAAGCTTGCTTATACACCCCAGAGGTGTTCAACATAAACAGATATGGCTGTAATTTGTTTCACTAAGGTATTTTGTACACTGTGCCACCTAGTGGCTAAACAGTATGCTACAGTTTTGTTTTTCATTACACTAAAGTTGGCAAGGGCATAATGGAAGGTACAGGCCAAGGTTCCCTCTAAGCTGCACAGCAGCACAGCCCCACAACTCCTTAATAAGCTCCGCCCAGCTGGGGGCTCAGAACTCATGAATGGAGCTGCCAATGCAGGGAGAGGCATTTCTTCTTCAGCGACAGGAGCAGCTCCCTGCTGAGGACAGAGCAGTGAGTCTCTCCCGCCAATAGAGACACATCCTCTCTATACCAGCTGGGAGAGACTCGCTGCTCTGTCCTCAGCAGGGAACTGTTGCTGTCATTGAGGGAGAAGTGTCTCTCCCCCAACTAGGCAGCTCCGTTCGTGAGTCCTGAGCCCCTGGCTGGGCAGGGCTCATTAAGCAGCTGTCTCACATCTTAGAGAGAACAGTGGTCCAGACCCCTGAATAATAGTGCAGCCCTTTCCCTTGGCTCAGTAGCCCTCTTATCAAGGCAGCAGGGCAGTCAGGTCACTTCTGCATGGCACTGCACCTCCTTGCACCACATTACAATGGCAGTGATTCAAATGTGGCCTAGCTGCTCTTCTCTCATGACTGAGGGGTAGCTGGGCTAATGATGACCAACCTTTCCCACCCCCACACTTTTGTAATCCTTCCAGCATCTTAATTCATTTTGTTGTCTCTCTGGAAGCTCACTAATTCCCGCAAAAAGGATCACTCACCCAATCAGGATAGGTATACCTTGCATCCAGGGAATTAAAAGATCTGAGCTGGACTGTGCTTCAGGGGACACCGAGTTGATTCGTGTCTTCTACCGTGTGGCAGATATGGCAATTTTCTATCACTTCTATCTTACAGAAGTTGTATGTCATTGTGGACCAGAACTGCATGTAACTTCTCTAGGGAGTGGCTGGGTTGTAAATCCTGGGAAGTGTTATGAATTTCAAATGATTATAGTGAACAAAGTGCCAGACAAGAATCAACTGTTAGGACAAACAGTATTTGAAATTTTTAGGAATTTTGTGCAATTTTTAGGAGGAGCTGAATGCAAATTCCCACCTTAGGTTATGCAAAAACCCAGCCTTTTGAACTGCATACTGAGGGGAAGACTAATATCTGTTTAACTGTTTCCCAGAGTCTGAAGATCAAAGGCCCAAGATATATAAGACTGAACTATTTGTGGCACTGCTTGTTCTGAGCTGAGGCTGTTATGAATTTGTAACTAGGTAGAGTTTGAGGGACTGACTCCTACGACAGCAGAGCCTTTGTTGGAATTGTCTTGTGGGTGACCTCAGATAAGCTTATTAATACGCATGTAGGTTCACTTATTGTTTTTAATATTTCCTCTATAATGCTTTCACTTTAAGAATAAATGTGCTTGTTGATAAAGGACTGTGTAGTAAGTTATATCTGTTGGCAATTTTACTGTTTGTGAGCCTTTGGCATGAAAAGGAAGTACAGACACTGACCTGATTAGGCAGTTGAATTGCTGGAAATACCTGTAATATAACAGGAGGTCTGGGTGCACCCCTGAGAGGGTCAAATCAGGGTGAGCTTGGAACCAGGGCTACTTGCAAGCCAATACTGGGTGTCCTCCTCTATAAGGCACCAAACCAATCTCAAAGTACTCTTCAGCTGCCAATCTGGCCAGCAAGAAGTTACACAAGCAATCCCCTTTGACATTCCAGTGCCACATTATCTGTGCCACACCTTATACAGGTGAGAGGTTAGGAAAACCAATCTCACCAACTCCAAACAGGTTCTACTGATCCCAAAGGACTAGCCACATTCCCATGTCAATTTATACCTCAGATCTTACCCAAAAGAGCACACTGTGCCAATACTTTAAAATCTAAGGCTATGTCTAGACTGCCCCCTCTTGCGCAAGAAAATATGCAAATGAGGCGAAGTGGCAAATATCGTCACACCACATTTGCATACTTAATGAGCTGCCATTTTGCGCAAGGGGCTTTTGCACAAAAAAGAGCTGTTTACATGGCTACTTTACAAGCAAAACCCCCCTATTGCGCAAGAGCCATTCTGCCTGAAAAAAAAAAAGCAGAACAGCTCTTGCACAAGAGCGGGTTTTTGCGCAAAAAGGATCTGTGTAGACAGCTCCTTTTTGCGCAAAAGCCCCTTGCGCAAAATGGCGGCTCCTTTAAATGGCGGCTCATTAAATATGTAAATGAGACACAGCAATAGTCACTGCTTCATCTCATTTGAATATTTTCTTGTGCAAGAGGGGGAAGTCTAGACATAGCCTAAAGGTTTATCAATAAAGGAAAGAAAAGGTTGAGAATAGAATTGTTAAAGGAAGCACATTACATATATCAATCACCAAGATGCAGGCTCTTAGCAGATATGTAATAAACTGCTAGCTTGAAAGTCACTGGATCTATGTGTGCAGGCGGCGGAGTCTCCCTCGGTGCACCAGAGGTTGGTCCAGGCAGAAACCACCAGAGTCGGAGACCTCCTGGACTACCGCCAGGGAGACTGGGTGGATCCTCAGGTGCTCGCCCAGCGCATGGGGCTCTCCACCCTACATACTCCCCGGCGCGTACTTCAGGAGGTGAAGGACACTTTGCCGCCCACTGCTCGGGTTTACCTCGACAAGGTCCTGAGAGAGGGTGCACCCCACCCACCCTTCACCCCCAGCCCTCCCAATCTCTCCATCGGCCCCAAGCCCCGCGTACCTTCCGGACCACCTCCCCCATGTCATCTTAGCCAGCTGCACGCGAGGCAGCCGGTCCCCTTCCGAACCGCGCCAAAGAGTCATCTGTACACGCTCGTGCTTCACACGCTCCACTTCCCCACCCTCGTGTCCCGCCCAGACCAATGGAGGGTGGGGAGCCCCAGTGGGCCAGCCTCTATTTGACCTTGGTTCCACGGCCCACTGGGGACATCTGCTGGAGAATCCTGCACGGCGCGGTGAGCATGGGCATGTACTTGGCGCGGTTCACCCCCACCTCCGAAACGTGCCTCTTCTGTGGTATGAGGGAGCCCCTGGAGCCCATCTACATCGAGTGTGCCAGGCTACAGCCCCTCTTTCGGCTCCTCCAAAACCTCCTGTTGAGGTTCTAGCTGCATCTTCCCCCCCACTTGTTAATTTACGCACATCCCATCCGTGACCCCACGAAGTCGCAGGACCTCCTGGTCAGCCTCCTCCTGGCTATGGCCAAATGGGCAATCTACAAAACCAGGGAAAAGAGGTTGGCCGGGGGAGGCACCTGCGACTGTGGGGCCTAATTCCATTGCTGCATCCGCTCACGTATCCGAGCAGAGTTCCAATGGGCAGCGTCTGCTGGCTCTCTCGAGACCTTCGGGGGGCAGTGGGCGCTGTCCAGGGTTCTCTGCTCGGTATCCCCATCCGGTTCCCTCGTTTTAACCCTTTGACCCTCACACCTGTACCTGTTTTTTCATTATTTGTCCCCAGTAATTAGTTGGTTTTTCCGGGTTCTGTGGACCCTCCCCGCAAGCTGTGAACCCGCCCACCTCCCGGACGCCAAATAGTTGAAAGTCACTGGAATACATCCTATGTTAGGATGCATCAGTTCTCCTTCCCAGCTCTCTATTTACCACAAAGAAGTTTGTGAGATAAAGAGCAGGAGTGATGACAAAGATGGAGAAACCTCCAGGATCCTTTTATAATCTTGCCCATGCAGAGGGGAATCCATTGTTCTCCTGAGAGATGGTACGCCCCATAATGGAGCTGATCATATGATCAATTAACCTGCCCATGTCCTTTTAGGCAAGGAGCCAGGTTTGCATCAGAATTCCACAGGTGTTTATTGGCAACACTTACGGCTCATTGTCCATGCAGCATAGCTATTAGGTGGACAATGCCTGCTGCTGTCTCCCAAACAGAAAACATTTAAAAAACAAGTGCACAGCCCATATTCATAACTTTCAATACAAAAATCATACATGTATATGAGTAGCGTGAACAGAATTAGCATAGCATTAGCTTTCATTAGATGACCCACTTGGTGCAGAATTTGGAGCAAACACACAACAGTGGTGCAACAATGCTCTGCATTTTCCTATTAAAATCCAATAACGTGACAATATCATAATGAAGATGAATTATGTGACCTAGAATGAGTGTTTTTGCTGGACCATGAAGAGGAAAGCTGGTGCAGCTGCCCTGAACTTTCACATGCCACACACAACCTCCAACAGTGAGGATGCACAGGGCCAGCAAAAGCAGTCAGGTGTGCACATATTAGCAATGATGGTGGCTGCACAAAGTGGCAAAAGTTCTAGTGGCAGCATTTTGTAGATGTGGCTCCTGGGATGCTAGTTGCCTCATGAAATCAATATCACCGTGGGGAAGGAGTTATATCTTGCTATTGTTTACCTCACCTACAAACAGCAAGTACTCCCTGACCCTCCTTTGCCCTACTTTCAATTGTATAGCTGGTTGGAGATGGACTGTACTCGCAAGGATCCTGCACCATAATCCAGGTGTGCTTACTGCTTAGACGTGGATAAGTTAAATTAGTTGGTGGAAGCAAAGAAGGAGGACACGCTGATTTAAAACCGAACAATTGAAAATGCATTTGGTCGTTCCTATTCAACATTAACTAGAGGAAACACGTTAATGAATAATGTCCAACAGTAGATGGGGGAACCTGGACTACTTAGGTCACTCTCCCTAAGAGTCCAGCAATAGTCACGTTTGAAAAGCTGCGACATACACGGGTTTACACAAAGGGAAACTCGACCTTAGGGTCCGGTCCAGAGGCGTTTAAAAAGTGATCGGCGCTCTCATGCACAGAGGATAGAAATATGAGGATTTTTAAAATTGCGTCCATGTGTTTCTTTTGTCAACCCTCGTGTCTTTATCCCGCAAACTCCTCGGGTCAGGGGCTCCCCGTGTCCTGCGCAGGGTGGGGCTCAGAGGCTGCACTTCGCAAATCAAGAGCAATGCCCATAAAAGGAAGCCCATGTCGGCAGCATGTGTCCTGCAGCAGCCCAAGTTTGCCCCGGCTTAGCTTGCAGCCACTTGAGAGCGTTTCTGGCCCCCGCGGAGGCGAAGGATGAGGCTGCGGGGACTGGGCTGCATCCAGCCCTTTCCAACCTGCCTCCGTGGGAAGCCCCGCCCGTCAGAAGAAACTTTGCTGGAGGTGGGGGGCGGTGATTGCTCGCCCGCCGGGCGCCGCGCTCGCAGCCAGTTTCCCCCGGCCTCTCGGCGCGGCTCGCCCCGTGCCCGGGCGCTCTCGTGGGGGTAGATGGTCGCTGCCGCTTCCTAGCGCGCCTCCCCGTCTCCTCCCCCTCAGCCTGGCGGTGCCCGCGCTCCAGTCTCCAGCAGCAGCAACAGCAGCTCGGGCGCGGGCAGCCGCGCGGAGTCCCAGGGACCCTCCCTCCCGGCGGCCGCCGCCTCTTCCTGCTGCCAGCCCGGCGCTGAAGGCTTGCCCATGGCAGGGCGCTGAGGGAGGGAGCCGGGCAGGCAGCGGCGCGGGGCTCTGCACTGATTCACGGCGGGGCGCAGCCGGCTGGTACTTTTCTCCAATGGTCCAAAGCGACATGTCCAAATCGCCTCCCACTCCGGCGGCGGCGGCGCAGGAGCTGCAGATGGAGCTGCTGGACAACCCCCCACCCGCCGCAACGGCAGCGCAGGTACTGGGGGGGCGGGGAGGGGAGGAAGAGGGAGTGGTAGGGACCTCTCCGGGCCTCCCCGGGGTCCCTGGCTGTGGTGTCCGCCGGCTCCCTTCCACTAGTCTCTGTCTTCCATCTTCCTCCCCCATCTGGATAATAATGGACAGCTCTGGGCGAGGGAGGTTTACTCTCCCCCGTAGGGACAGATGTGCTAAGCTAATCCGATCCCTGGCTCCTATGAGTGGCGTCTTGGCTACAACATCCATCCCTCACGCTCAACACAGAGGGCTAGCTGCAAAGAAACGCTTTCAAACGAGTCCTGGGCTGTCCAACCCTTCCCAGCTATTAGAAAAGCCTCCGCGAGATCAGAAGAGAACAGCTGGATTTCCCAAACTCTTTACCCTTCAACTTCAATTCCCCTCTAGAAGGGGAGTTTGATAATTCTAAGAGATCTGAGGTCCGTTTTCCCCCTTAAAATGTCACATAATGAACATATATTCATGCCTTGAGGTGTTCGGTGCAATAGAGGCTTTGAACACCTTTTCATTGTAGATGCATGTCAGAATACCTAACTATGACTGTGGTGTTCTGTGCCCTCCTTTTTAAAGCAAAGGGTTGATTTCCCATTTCTAACCACCTGTTGTATTTGGTGTGGCATACATGTTGCTTACAATCCTATTCTACAGGCTGTCTCCCCCCTCACAACCATAGATAAGGAATTCTGCTTTATTGGGGAAGACAGAATTGATGCCATTTAAAGCAGCTAGAGTAAGGATTTTGGCTGGGATAAAGGTGTATCCCACCTTATAGATTCTAGAATAAAATTAGTAAACTGGGCTTACCATCTTGTAAATTAATACTTTTAAAGTGTAATCTGTATTGTATGCAGGTTAGGGAGTATGCAGGTCTGTGATGGAGAAATAGAGATTAATGAACTATTGAAGATCTTGCATTTTGAGAGGAAGCTTTAGTTTAGTATGTGAATGTTGTAAAATATCTCTTAGATTTACCTAACATGTCTGCAGAGATACAGTATACTATTTTAAAACCCAGTGTATACTAATATCTGATTTTGTGCATTTGAAACACTGAATGCTCTGGTTCTTGTTAGGACTAAGAGGTGATACTTTTTTGTTTTTGTCAAAACTGCCTCTGATCCTTTATTTTAGTTGAAAAGGAGGTCTGTTGGCTTGACAAAAAAATAGAATTAGAAATGTTGCGTGAAAATGGTCTCAGTCTGTCAAATTGACTTTTATTGACGATCATCTTTAAAAAATAATAATTCAGCTATTGAAAAACCATTTTGTTTAAAAAAAGAGGAAACAAGTGTATTTTTTTCTTTTTTGCTTATGATATTACAGTCAGAAATAGAGCAATGTAGGCATATGCTTGGCAAATCTTCCCACACAGCAGTGCCCTAGAACCTACTTCCTGATTTACAAATACTTCTCTTCTGCTCTGTACCCTAACCTGAGCAGGGACTGACAACTGTGTGGAATTCTGTAAGGATACAGCTACACTGCATGGCTGTTTCGAGATGCTGGAGGTATCCTGAAATAGCTACCCTGTGTCTGCACAAGCTGCCCATTATTTCAAAATATTTTTCAAAATAACAGGTACACTATTTTACCATCCTGGTAAACCTCGCTGCATGAGGGTTAAGGGATGGCTCGAAATAGTGCATTATTTCGAAATTTGGCGCTGTGTAGATGCACCACATTTCAAACTAAGCTATTCTGAAATAAATTTGAAATAAGATACACAATTTGTGTAGTGCAAATTGAGTATCTTATTTCGAGCTTAGGGTGCTATGTAGATGCACCCCAATGGTTTTCTCATGTGGACAAATGTACACTATTGGTCATAGAATTCATCCTTATCTGTGGTTTTAATTATGCATAAAGGAATTTCTTTGGAGGGCTAGTTCATCAACACCACCCTGCATTATTTGTCTCTCAGGAAAAATACTTGTATTCTGTTTTATATAATTGGCTTTTGAATGGCTAAAACACAAATGGTGGCTATTCCTTTTGGTAAAGATAGAGAAGCTTTTTAGTAAATGCAGTGAGCAAATTTCACTTCTCTGTACCAAAGTACCCCATCAGACAAAACAATAGTAGCCTTTAGACACCATAGCCTAATCATATGTAATCCTTTTTATCAAATAAATAATGTTATTGGAATAAAAGATCATTTTGTCTGAATACAGTGTTAAAATTCAATTAATTCCTTAGCATTTTATTGCAATGAGAGAGTGTTATCCTTTTGTTCCATGATTTCTGAAGAACGATTACAGAAAAAACTTGATGCCATTAAAATAATCACAATGAGAAAGAGGCTAAATGTAGAGGGTATGTGATCCATTACTTAATGTACTACATGTATTATAATAATGTCCATTTAACCACACATTTAAGATACCTAGGCCTATTATGTTCTCTGGTGCTGCTAGAAGTATTTCACACCAATAATCCCAATGGTGATATCAAAGATCTCTTGAAGTTCTATGCAGCAATGTCACTCCTTGAAGTATTTTTAGCATTGTTACAGGAATGATAACTTTAGAAATATCATTGTATATCTCAGCTTTACTTGTGTGGATGTGACTGAACTTTGGAACCAGATTAAAAACTGCGTTCTACCCTAGGATTTTACCTATGCGAGGCATATTTATTTTATTTGGTTATGTATTATAGTCTGTATTAACAAAGCTTGGCCAAAGCCTATTATAGAAATTTGAGGAACAATTACACTTAAAAGTTTGTTTCCATATTGTTGAGCCATGACAGCCGCTGAGGTTAATCTGTTGCAAGATTTTTATATTATTGTTTTGGAACATGGTTTGCATAGATAATAAAGACCTTGGGCGCATTGATCAAGGAAATTATGCTTGAAACTTGCTAGTCCTGTCCCAAATAGCTTGTTATGGCTGTGTTTGTGCAGCATCTAGCATAATTGAGGTCTGATCTTGAGTGTGACCTCTGGTTGAGTGCTACTTTAAAATAAATATTAAACATAGTAATGACTAGCACATTCGGTAGTGTAGGTAAGATTTTAGATAAAATCTTAGGTCTCCAATCTGGCACAGTCTTATGACTTCAATGGGACGGTTCCTAAAGTGGAAGTATGCACAAGTCCAAGGAGGCCTTAATTGTGACCCTATCAGAATGAAGTCAGGACACTGAATGCCTCATTTTAAGAGGTCATGAACACCCATAACTTTAATTTAAATGGGTGGGCACTTGGAGTGCTCAGTACCCTTATTTTTTTCCCCTTGACTTCCTACATCATCAATTTTTCACAATGAAAAATCCAAATAAATGAAAACACATCACTCTAACAATTAAGTAATTTTTTAAAAAAGACACATCAACACAGTTATTTATAGTGTAAGAATGGCAACAATTTGCCATTCTTCCACTGCAATTTTTGTATCTGTTTGGTCCTGTTTTTTAATAAGTCCACAGTTCAAATTCTGCTTTTAAATTCTTGTTTTTGTGATCTCAGTCCCTAGGTCTATTGCCATACCAAATCAGTCTACTGGTTATCTAGTGCAGTGCTTCTTAACCTATTCACCATTTCAGGCCATCTGCAATACCACCTGTATTTAGAGTCCTGCATGGGTACCAAATTTATCTCTGTATCCGCAAAAATGAGCTGGGAATTTCCATGTGGAAGTCTGCAGATATGAAGTGAATATCTGCAGTTTTGCATGGCTGTACCTATATTGCCCTGAGGATGTCATGTGAACTGCATCTCTGTGCTGATTGGTCTCCAAGCAAAATGTAGACTGCAGTTTGAGAACCATTAATCTAGTGCTTTATCCTGTCTCTAGAAGAGGCTAGAGCGAGATACACTTAAGGGAAGGTTTTTGAAATCCTGTAATTGGCAATTATGAAATAACCTGCTGAGAGGGGAAATGTCTTATCTGAAGTTGAACTCCTTCCCAATTATTTCCTTCTCATTTTGCCCTTTCTTTTACCTCCTTCTATGTTATCAGTTAATTAATTTCCTAATGGCTTGACAAATTTTAAATGAAAACAAGTTCATTTTTTCTTGTTTCCAGGGCTGTCCTTACGAATCATGGTGCCCTACTCAGCCTGAGCACCAGCACCCTCCTATGGGGTGGGAAGAGGTTCTGTTTAAGGGCTATGGGCAATAAGGAGTAGGAACTGTGGGGGACAAGCCCAGGGCTTCCGTGGATATATGGGGAGGAATAGGGTAGGAAGGCTGGTGGAGGACGGGTCTGTGGAGAGACTTGCTGAGCCCCATGCTAGGTGAGGGCAGCACCAGGCTCCAGAAGGGGCAGGGCTTTGAGCGAAAGGGGCAGAGTTGGGGGCTAGCTGACCCAAGCCTGACCTTTAGCGCCTCCCAGCATGCACCGCCTGGAGTCTGGTGGAAATTTAAAGGGTCCAGGTTCATTGCCACTGCTGCAGTAGGGATGGCGGTGGCCAGGGTAGCCCAAGCCCTTTGAAATCTCCAGTCTCTGGGGCAGCTACTGCTTTTGCATCCTCTTCCTCTTCAGCGGCCCTAGTGGAGGTGCAGGCAGGAGGTGCAGGAATCAGGTGGTGAGTGGCATGATTTGAACTGCAGGCCAGAGGTTCAGTAGAGGGCACTGAGTAGCAGCTGGTGGGGAAACAGCTGGCTGGGCACAGCCTTGAATGGTGTGGGATACACAGCACACAGCTGCTTAGCGCCCCATGAAATTTTGGACAATCGATGGTGCCCACATTTTGTGGTGCCCTATGCAGCTGCATATTCTATATATTTTCCTTTTTAAAAAAAAAAAAAATCTGTCATATTTTTTTATAGAGTCTCAAACTTCCAGTTCTATTGTGATGATCTCTGTTGTGGCAACAGGAGCTCCCTTCTGTAATGCTACACTCCCATGTTTTTTATGGAAATGTGTTTTTGAATATGCATAACTCAAATATGCTTTATGCAAACTGGGACATGTAACCTATCCATTGAGATCTCGTAATCCCTGAATATATATATATTCTATTTGTGTGCATGTATCA